ACTATCACGAGCCTAGGTCGAGCCGTTTAGATTTGTGCCGCAATTCTGCATTTCCTCCCTATACCTTAAGTTCAGGAGGGAATGTTCCTCTTTCTTTTACACCTCTTGACCTTTGACCTTTAACCACCAGCTTCGACATTCCAACTCGTTTTCGAATTACCCCCCCCCCCAACCCGAATATTGTGACCGTACGTCGAGCCGTTTAGATTTGTGCCCAACTGTTGACGGACGCACGCACGGCCGGACGCACGCACGCTCATGCGATTCTACAAGCTGCATCTGACTATGTCAGATGAGCTAAAAATATAACAAATGTACATGTACACAAAGAATATCCTTTCAAGCACAAAAATTGGCAACATGATCTGCATCTAATGTATGCACGGAAACTTACCACTGGATTTCATCCCTGCTTGGGACATCATACAGAACTCCTTCTTGCCTTAAAGTGTTCAGGCTCCCTTTCAAGTCAAATGCTATAAGGCGTGGAGTGTAAGTTTGTTGACCCTAAAGAGTGCCACAAGTACACACAAGAGCATGTTTATACTCAAAATCAAATTATACAAAAGATATAAAATTATGCAAGTAAAGTAAGTATGTAAAGTAATGCAATTGAAAAATGAGATGCTACTATATCTAAAATAGTATTTGATTAACATTACCATCCTGTTTCCTAACTCACATGGATAGCAGATATAATAATGGTCCATTTTTTATTATATTATAACAGCAAGGTCTAAGGAAATGTATATCTATATTAATTTATACATCATCATCATTTCAAGCGCTGACTGGCAGCCGTGCTACGCACATCCTGATCTCTCTCCCCCTTGTGATATTGCCCGCTACACTGTTGTCGCCAGTTATTCTCTATCAATTGCTTCTTCAGCAGCGGTCTCCCAGTTGATGTTCATGTCTGCCAGCTGCTGCTTCATCAATCTCAGCCAGGTAGTAATTGGTCGACCGGCTGGCTGATCTACTTTTCTGTCTGCTTCACGGATTGCTAACCTGACAGGATGTTTGTGGGAAGTCTAATGATATGTCCAAAAAGTCTAATTCTGCGTTTTGATGACTTCGCTCCATTCTGTAAATTTGAGTAGTTCTTTCAGGGCGACGGAACTAATTTTCAGAGCATATCTGATAGTTATGGCCCTCCTTATACAGCGGCATTGGAAAGAGTAGATTCTACCACCAAGATCTTTAGTTATTGACCATAATTCGGAGTTGTAGAGGAATACAGGCTCTATGAGTGCTGTGAAGAGATGATACTTCTTTGCGATAGGTATTCGATGGTGACGCCATATATTGTCCCAAACATTCATTGCTAATTAGCTTTTTGTTTTTTTCAATGAGGTCTTCCTCAGTTCCAAGATGACTGCCCAGGTATTTACATTTTTTCCAGTTATTGCTTCCCCTCTCTTTTGATTGTATACTCCTCGGTTTGTCTGAGTTACAGGAAAGGTTTCTGCTGTTGAGCTGTGGCGGTATTGCGTCTGTAGTATTGTGCAAGATGATACGGTCCTATGATGATCCAGCCTATATCATCTGCATACTGTGGTGTGACGGTTACGTTGAGGTTGTTCTTTATTTTTTCATAATTATGGTTGCAAAGGTGCACGATGGAGTAGTGTCAGGTGTTGGTGATGAGTATTGGTGGTCTCTCAATTCTTGTTTAGACTTTGGTGTCAGACTGCGTGCTAAGTACCATATTTTACCATAATTTACACAGAACACAAGACATATGGTAAGACATGTATGAAGTATAACGTATATACCGTGAGTGTGACACCTTCCCTAAATAGAACATCATGGTTCAAAATCTTTTCTCGTTGTTTTTCTGGGTTTGGTTCATACAAAAATGAAGCCTCCTGCAAACAAGAATAAGTTTCTTTTAGATGCCGATAAAGATTAATGAATCAACAAGAAATTTCTCCATTTATAGTCACTGAATAAAAACTTTACATGGGTTTTCATTAACCTAATTTAACACGCATGTATAGGTTCAACTTTATCTTGATCACTTAAACAAGATCAAAATACCTAGTAAAAACCATTCGGAAAAAATCCTGTACTATCCATATTCTTGTCATGAGTCTTGTGGTGCAATATGACGTTCAACCTTAAGGTATAGAGACTACCGTACTACTAGTACGTACATTATGATCATACAATTATAATGTGTAATATACATGTATGATTCATGAGTACTGCCTACTGTCTACTGACACTGTCCAAGCGCGGTTACCGATGCTAACGGTGAACAGTGTAACTTTAGCGAGTAACTCAACTGCAACTTGCATTATTATGACCATTAATGACATTAAAGTTGGGAACACTCCTAATGGAGTATCACCCCTCAGGATAGCTCTAGTACTATAGCCCGCGTACAGTTGCCGCAGTATAGAAAATTTTATGCTAGGTTTCGCAACTGCACCTGTTCCCCAAAGCTTCCACGAAAAATCGCTCACAAAACGCAAAATGATCGGGCTTTTTAACACTTATCTATCTACATGGACATATCACCTATCTTTTTGAACACTTTCCACAACTTTACACCATGTATTTATGCATTTATTCCTCAAAATGCTAGCACTACTTGCGTTTCGTTTTGAATTGCTGTTGTGTACACGCGTACGTGACGTCACCCGAAATGTAGACAAAACACATGGGCAGCTATAATGCAGCCTATTACATTTCGGGTGACGTCACGCGTGTAGGCCTACACAACAGCAATTCAAAACGAAATGCAAGTA